GATGCGTCATCGTGGGCCGCGGAGCGCTGACACCTCTGGCGCCGTCGCGGCGCGGCGCAGCGAGGGGCTGATAGGAATGCCGCAGACGAGGTGGCGGAGGCCGCGCTTGATAGCGAACACGGTACTTATAAATGTGACGTCACACGCAACAGTGGAGAGAGGAAATCACGCCCCAAAAAACTCTATGATGTTCGAAGAGAAAATAAACGCGTGATGAGTTGTGAAAAAACAAAGCTATGCGGATGTCGAAAAGCCGTACGCAGTGCATTGCCTATTCTTTCAGTGATCTTGGAATACTTCATGTAGCCCGATACGTAAAGCCTTACAATTTGATTTCGCTTAATCGTTCAACATTTGTCTCAAGTCGACGTGGATATTCTTCTGCGGTTTGTCAAGATTATAAGTCCATGTGAAATAGCGTGAAAACGTAAAGTTTGGTAATTTTTCAAATTAATTAATAAGTTTATATTTTAAAAGAAGCTCTCCATTTAGATTCACATGATCATCGCATTGTAGGAAGCAAAATACATCCAGTTTTCCAAATACTAAACATATTACACTGGTCCACAAACCCTTAATAATTTTAGGAGAAGTGACAGATCAGCAAAGCGGTAAGATAAATTGTTAGCATCGTTCTAAGACATGATGTCGTCAACAGAACTAAAAGTAGTAACCTGAAGAATGATGTTCGCCAAATTGTTTCTAAATTTTCGAGGCACAATATCATATTTAGGTAGAGTATCAGGAAAGCTATCATGGCAAATGGATTCCTATGTCTGAGAGGAAGAATACATAAACATCATGTTGGAAAATCTTTGTTTTCGCTCCCGAAAATGAATATTGATACCTCCCTGAAAACGTTTTCTCCGATCCACTTTTTAAACGTAAAGCAATAGCACAGGGGTCCTTAAACTATCATAAGTGTGCTCCCAGCAGTAAGCCATAGCCGTGTAGGGGTTTCGTGAACAAGGTTAAAGGGACTTAACTGTCTGGAAATAAATCAAATTTTCAATTTTACGAGAAATTAAAACACCGTTTAGTGCATTCGACTCGGGGACAGAAATTAATTTTAAAAACCCGAATATATACAGCTCTTAGAATTAGATATTTCGAGCGTCATTTAATATTCTGCGATTTTACAAATATATTTTCACTTTCATTACGTAAGTTTAAAATAATAGTTTTACGTAGAGGCTACAGTACGGTAAAAAGTACATGGAGAAATTTACAATTCATGATCTCTTCATCGACTGTGTGAGCGCGAGTAGAAAGAAGGGCGGTGGGGAGGGCGCGATGGCGGGTCGTGGGACTGGCTTGAAGAAACCCTCGTTACATTTTGGTGGCCCACATCAAGTGTTTGTTTGTGGACAAAATATCGCTAATGTGACACGTAACGCAACGACAATAACGCCGGTCGGCGTCTTTTGATGTGACGCCCCCTGCCCGCGGCGACGACAGTGGCGGTTCCACCACTTCGGTGGAGACTTCTTCAAACACGCTAAAGAAAGAGAGTCTGGGAAAGAAACCCTCGTAAGAGACAACGTGTTTTAGACTGTTCATGAGAAAACAAGCAAACGTTTATTCACACATTGTGTTATTTATTTCGTTACTTTATAATTTACGAATTAAAATTTTTGTACAAGCACCGTACATGTCTTTTATGCACACAATATAAATAGTTTTGCGAGGCTATTTCGATGTCGATGATATTACAGGAGGGATTGAATATAAATTTAACAGCAGGAAACATAAACAATTTTAGAAACGAAATCATATGGTATTGAAAAATGAACAATAAAGGAAAAATATTTCACGAAAATTATAATATTACAATGTTTAAAAGACCGTAAATTAATGCAGAAACTGGAAATTTTTTGTGAAACTTTGCAAACGGAATCACTGCAAAATGTTTGGGAGACATAAGGCCAACTATAAGTGTTCCTTGCGTAATAAAGAAATTCTTACGATAGTGGTCCGAAATTGTACTAATTCGGGTGAGGTGCACTCCACACGGGTAGCAAAAATATGTTTTTACCACCATCGTTTTAAAACTAGTGGAATGTGGGCATACCTAAACTTTTCCTCCTCTTAGTGTTAGTACTAAACAGTTTCTCAGATGTTTAAAAAAAAGTGCATGACATAAAGGTCTACAATTGAATAAATTTATGCAGAAAACACAGAAATTTATGCAAAGTCACAATAATGAATATGGTAAAAAAATATTCTGGAAAGTTAGGAAATGTTTTAAAATTTCAAACAGCATAGATGTTCGCCGAAAACTAGACATGTGTGGGATGTGGCTGTAGAAAACGTCGAAAAGTTCTGTACATTCACAATACGGAAAATGGAAAATCTAAAAAACAATGCTTAATGTCATTCAGTATAAATCTTTGAAAAATAATGAAATAAGGGAGGTTTACAAATTCTGAAACAATACAATTATAGGATTTTCATTGCATTTTCGTTAATTTCCAATAATGCAAAGATGTATTTCTAGATAGGCGCTGATAGATTTCTAGCTGCGCGATGTAGACTAAAGCTAGCAGTACTCATGATTTCGGGAAATCCACAGTCTAACATTCGGGAATAGGGCACTTAATCAGCCTAAACGGAGCCTCCAGTTTTGGATATGGTTCGGTCGTGTTTGGTTTTCGGGCGCCGCTCGCTTCGGATGGGTCGACGGCTTAGACAATGGCTCGGCGCGGCGCGGCCGGGTGCGGGGCGGAGGCGCGGAGCGGGGGGCGGGGAGCGGGGAGGGAAGCGGGGTCGGAGGCGGTGGCACCGTTGTGACGTTGTCGCGCTTGAACGCTCAAGCGTTGCGCGGCGCCGCAAGACGTTTGGACACAAAAGCCGGCGCAGAGTTACGAAGCCACCGTAAATAGTTTTGACCTTTGCGTGACCTTCGCGCTTTGATTCGCGAGGTTTATTGTAACCCTCCCGTGCGCCGGCGAAGCCCGAAGGAGCGCAATCGGGATCTCTCTTCCCCTGTTCTCCTCCAGACACTTACACAGCTCTCCGGAATTGACTTAGTACCAGCTACTTCGTCATTTCGGAGGTTTCAGAGAAAAGGCTTTCTTATTATTATTAATCGAAGGGTTGACAAAAAATCTGACAGTCTGAGCTCTTCCTACTTATCAAGTCAAGTCAATTTGGGCGGTGAATCGATATGTTTTGCCAGCGTTGAAAATCGGATGACTCTACAATAATTGCTGAGGACATATTTTATGCTCGGTTGGGGCTTACATAAAATTGTATTTGGAAATGTATGTTTCCCCTTTTTTAGAAATATTTACATTAAAGTGAAACTATCCCACTTGATAGGGACGGCGACGACCTACACATCAGGTTAGGGGAATTTCCCTCAGCAGGTATCCCCTCCCATTGACGGCGCACTGCCCAAGCCGCGACAAGCTCTGAGCTCCCAACTGGTCTCCGGCTTGTGTCGTAGTGTAGAGCATGTAAGTGAAAGTGTGTGTTAGTAAGGGGTGAGGATAGGACAAGGAAGAGGAAATGTCCATGGCCAGTTTCTTACGCTACTCCTCCGGTATTCGTCTGGTGTTGATTGGAGAAACCTCTGAAAACTACCAATTAGAACAGCCTGCCGCTGGAAGTTTTCTCCAGACAGCGGCTGAACTCAATCAAGCTAGTGTCGAAAATCTTGCCACCGTCGGGTCGCGAACCCAAGGACTTTCCGGTTAGGGAAACTTCAGTTGATGCCCTGAGGCAATTCAGCCGGAGCAGTCGATATCACGAAACGGGCCTTTAAGCAGTGTTTTGCCAGATTTCATTTACATTTGTCCAATTAATTAAATACTGCGTTTTCAACCAATGTTAATATTTTAATATTCCTAGTGCCTTTTTTCGCCTCTGTAAATTTATCTTTCGTTTTACCCTTCATTTGTTCAGATTCGATGGTAGTGAGTCGCAATTCGAATTTACCCTACAGAAATAGTATTCCTGATTGTAAAGTTCCCTGAAGTGTTGAGTGTGGTAGAATCTGAGCGATGATTAGAGCCGGGACGTTTGCCAAAATGCGCCTTCACAAGATTGTGTTGATGAATTTAGGGCTTTTAAGAATAGGAATCAATTGTACTTCTGATGTCTTTTTAGTAAATTTCATTTTGCCTTTGTATTTTAGACTATTTTTGGTATTTTGTATTTTTCTGCCTTTTTTGTCATACTTTTTCTTTTTTTCTTTTGGACAAAGATGACCATTGATTGAGAACATACCTGCAATTCTGAACACCATGAAGGTACGATCGTCTGCTTTGTCAGTGGAAGTGAAGGCTCCAAGGTCAGTGTTAAAGATCTAAATGTAAAATCGTACAAGGTAGTCAAGATATTCGATTTTTTACATTGATGCGGACCGGCTTTGTTTGCTGACGAGGAACCACCTCCTACTTTTAGTGACATAGCGGCGCGAATCCCTTTTGAGGACAGCTCTTTGTAAACGGTATACCCTTCACAGTGCTGGCGATAACACAAGTACGAACCACGAAATATATAATTGAGTTTTCTCTGATGCCATTGCAAGGTTCAAAAGGGCGTCCACAAGCCCATTTCGAAGGGAGAGCGTCGCCAGTAAAAACGGTCATCGTATTTATCGATTCATCATAACGCGTGGTTATGTGGAAACAAGATGACTAAGAAATGATGATTTCCTTTTACGAAAGAAATAATGAAAATTTTAGAGTTCACTTAAAAATGTGAGTTAGTTTAATTATTTTTTCTCCATAATTTCTCTTAAACGTGATTTTCATTGTTTACCTGCCTTTTGCGTCCATTTTTTTGCCAGAATTAATGCCATTTTGCATTCCTATTTTCGTAAAAATGAACGGCTTCTCGCCTGCCTATTATAAGTGACACAAACGCCTGAACGTCCGCGCTCCAGCGCCGGGCAGGCGAGCGCTGGCCTCTGCGCAGCGGGTGCCGTGACCGATATGCGCCCTCTGTTATCGCGGCGCCTGCAGGCGTCGCGACGCCACGCGCCGTCAGACGCCACGGGGGGCTGACTGCTCAATTCCCGCAGCCGCCATTCCAGGCCGTGGCGGCGGAGGAGCGCGCTTCCGGGGCGACACGAGGGCCACGGAGTGAAAATGCGGAGTGTGCGATTTGCACGTGGGCATTGCCGGCCCAGGAGCAAGGAAGTGGATATTTCTGCGGAATGTTGGTATTGTGGTGAGTTTTCATTGGCATTTCCAATGAAATAATTATATGAGTAGTCATTGCCAACAATATTATTTATTAAAATAGCAGCTTTGGATGGCTTAGCCATCGTGGTAAGTTTTCTAGTACAAGAAGGAAAAACAAAGAAACATTAAAACGTGAATATTTTTTTATTTGACAACAAAATTATAATAAAAGATTACTAATAATTTACAATTTTTGGAAAGTATATTTAGTATTTGATGATGGCTCAGCCATCGAAAGCTGCTATTTTTATAAATAATATTGTTGGCAATGACTCATATAATTATTTCATCTATGCAGAGGTTGAGTTTGTCTCAACTTGTTTTAATAGTTGAATTGGAAATAACAAAGGGCACGTAGTAAATGTATGTGAATTAATGTCGCAATTATTTTTGATTTTACTACTGTAATATTAATAGTTAACGAAAAACTAGCTTAGGGCATCAGTGACAGTTCTGGGCTTCTGACCGGGAGGCCCAAAATTCCCGACAGTGGCAGCATTATCGACACTCACTACACAGCAGGGTGAAGTTCAGCCACTGTCTATAGAAGAATTTTACCGGCCGACTGTTTTGATGCGTAGTTTCTCGTGGTTTCTCCGATCAACACGAGACGAAAGCAGGAGGAGAACTCCTGACAAACGAGCACACGCTCGTCGGTCGCACGGACCGCGCGCGATCAGTCGCTTTCATCATTGCCTTCTCCTTACGTTCTTATCATTGCATGCACTTGCCATAGCTGACGAGAACTTAGAGTTTGTCCCGGCTGCGGCGATGTCCCTCTTAGGGAGAGACCTTATGAGGGAAAACCCAAGCGTGCGCTTACCTCCCGTTACCTCCCGGGGACACTGACACTGACACCTACCGACTATAACACGCACTACACTCCCGGTATTTAATTATTTAATTATTTGCCAACGTGGTTTGCGCTTTTAGTATGAAACACTGTCTCACCCCCCCCCCTCGCTGCAGCTCTTGCAGTGCGGCGTCCGAGATCCGATAGGGGAGGCGACGCGGGGGGGGGGGGGGCAGCGCTTATCGTCTGCTGCTGACGGGAGGCAACTGGCGCAAAAACGCCCGCCCGCGCGCGCCCCACGGCCGCTTCCAGGAAAGCGCTCGCCGTTCTTCTGCCGCCCAATCAGGGGATGGGCAGCGCAGGAGCAAGGGCGTTGTGGAGTAGCCGCCTCATTACGCGTGCACTCGCAAACATTATTTGCTCCGACGGAACTTTTAAAACACAACTGCCTGTAGCCTGCGTACTTTCGCCGCAAGGCACCGTAATCAAAACGGTAAGAAATTTACCCTCTGCGTTATCATTGCTACCTGCACGAGATTACGCCGCCTCGCGGGGAGGGGGGACCGGCTGCTAGAGCACCCGTCGGAAAGTGCGTCCCATCCTAATAAAACGTTACCTGCAGGCGATTTGACAACGCCGCGGGGTGCGCATTAATTGTGGCGTCGACCGCCCCGCGCAGATGGTTCCGCGAGATGCTTCCGAGAGAACCCGGCCCGCGGAGGCCCTCGCGCC